GATGAAGCCAAAGTTTGTGCAATGATTTTGCATCTTCTTGTTAACTTGTAATTCTTCCACACTGTAATTGTTTGGTGAATTTATGTGTTGAGGTCAGTCGGATGCAATACATGATTTGATTGGAGTCATGGAAGTGATGGTTAGCCAATGGCCATCAGCAAGAAAAAACAAACAAACATATAAAGCAATGACTGCAGGTTTAAGGTAAATTGCGCAATCAAAAGAAATCAAGAAAAAACTTTTTTTTTTTTAGATGTGGATATACCCACATCTAAATTCTTCTTCAATTGTTGATTAGGTGCAAAAAAAATGGAAATATATTTTCAGCCATAATATACATCCAGACATCATTTATGCAGCTGAGGGACATTTGGATGTACCTGTATATGTAAATATGAACTTCATTATTTTTTGTTTAACAAGAAGACAACAGAAATGACAGTAGTTAGAAAACAGCTGCATTAAAATAATAATTTTATGACAATTTGATTATAAGGTGTATTTGAAAAAAGACAGCAATAACATTGTTTGAATTAATTTCTTTCTTTGCATTATGTTTCCAACCAATTTAACTTGTGTGCAAAATCTGAACCATGTCAGACAGTTCTGGAAGTAATCATACAAGATAATTTTGAAAATGTACAGTACTTCCACAGTTATTCAATCATATCGTCTGTTGAGGAGATTTCATTAAAGTGTGCCAAGAAAATATCCCCACACCATTACACTACCACCAGCAGTCTGAACTGTTGATACGAGGCAGGATGGATCCATGCTTTTATGTTGTTGACGCCAAATTCTGACCCTACCATCCAAATGTCACAGCAGAAATCGAGACTCATGCATCAGGCAACGTTTTTCCAATCTTCTATTGTCCAATTATGGTAAACATGTGCGAATTGTATCCTCAGTATCCTGTTCTTAGCTGACAGGAGTGGCACCAGGTGTGGTCTTCTGCTGCTGTAGCCCATCTGCCTCAAGGTTCAATGTGTTGTGCTTTCAGAGATGCTCTTCTGCACACCTCAGTTGTAACGCGTGGTTATTTAAGTTACTGTTGCCTTTCTATTAGCTCTAACCAGTCTGGCTATTCTCCTCTTATCTCTGGCATCCACAAGGTATTTGCACCCACAGAACTGCCGCTCACTGGATATTTTCTCTTTTTCTGACCATTCTCTGTAAACCCTAGAAATGGTTGTGCGTGAAAATCCCAGTAAATCAGCAGTTTCTAAAGTACTCAGACCAGCCTGTCTGGCACCAACAATCATGTTCACGTTCAGGATTGTCTGGACCATGTCTACATGAGTTGCTGGCATGTGATTGGCTGATTGGAAATTTGCATTAACGGTTTTATTATGCCTAATAAAATGGCCAGTGAGTGTATATATGAGTATGAAAATATTTTGTAATATATATGTTCTTCCAATGCGATATACAAAAATGCACACAAAAATAGTGGATGGAAACTTAGTAGCTGCTAACATTGGAGTCTCATTCTGCATTATCTTGAATATAGTACAAGCATTCATTTCACAACAAGATACAGTTACAGAAGTGCGCATGCATAATGTTTAAATGTTGATTTTCTCTGCAAAAATCACATAAAAGTCAGTGATCGTTCATAGAGGAAGTTAGAGATGGCCTTGTTTGAAGTTTCTTCACCATATGTTTACACATTTCCAATAATAAAGTTATTAATACACCAGAATGCTTAAGTGTAGGCCCTTTAAGCAACTCATGACACAAAACATGAGTGGGCAGATGGTGAGGATCACTTCATCGACTCCAGACAGATAGACATACCTGGAGGGAATGACTCAAAACACATCAGTCCTGTAGCGGGTGTTTTGTTGGGTGCTGGGTGTGAAAAAGGAAGCTTCAGGGTTGTGAAAATGTCGAACGCAATCAATCTGAGAAGGAAACACACAAAACCTGTTCAAGTGGTTTTAAGAGCTAATTTAGGATGCAAACAAACATTACTGGTTAAGTTGCAAACTGAGGTGACCTGTGACCTGTCTTTAGCAAAAGTACATTTAATAACAGAAGCATCATTAAATATAAATAAACATTTATAAACATTAAATATAAATCTTGTCTCCCAAATAAAAGAAGTGATTTTGATCTGCATGAAATGGGTCATCAGTAATGATTGAATTATCCACATATAAAACTAAAGTTTGAAACAAAACTGGCCTTCCAATACCATTTTTAAAATCATTTTAAACACTAAAGTTTTGGATTGGAAGACTGAACTTTAATCTGGACCGGAAGCATTGTCCTGGATTGTGGAAGGATTGTGCTGTCAACATATGTCTTTTTTTGCATTTACAAAAAAATTAATGAATTTCCCTTTCGGCTTTATCTCCATTTCAAAGGTCGGCCCAAGAGGAATGAACCGCCAACTATTCCTGGATATGTTTTACTCAGTGGATTCCCTTCAAGCCGCAACTCAGTATTGGAAAACACCCATACACACACTCATACACTATGGCCAATTTATTTTACTCAATACAGAAGAACTTGCAAACTGCACACAAAATCGCCAACTGGCCCAGCTGGGACTGGAACCAGTGACCTTCTTGCTGTGATGCGACACTGCTAACAATATAATATAATGCTGTTGACATTATATGGTTCTTCTTTTTATTTTATTTTTAATTAGTTAAGTACATTATATTTTGTCTAACAAAATATACAATGTGTTAATACTAGAACTTATTTGTTTAATTTATTTTTTTAAATTTTTTAACAAAAGTCTGGCATCCACTACATGGTATTTACTAACGAGTTCAATGGCTACTGATTTCAAACTTTCTTTAAAATATCTTGTGTTCGATAGAAGAAAAGTAATTACTTTTTAATTTTGAACTATCCATTTAAAATTAAACAACCAAACCTAATTTGTAATAATTTCAGTGCAATTGGAAAACTGTGGTTTGTTCTGAAGCCAATTAAACAAATATTTTGAGATCCAAAATTTTTACCTTAATTTTTTCTTTTAAACGTAAAAACTGTTTTTATCCCAGGAAAATAAAGAGAAATAAGAGTTCCATCAGAAGAAATTCTAGGACATTTTTTTTAAAAATCACTAAAATAATTTATCATAGTTGCTAATAATGTCTTTATGTATTTGAGCAGATAACTGTCCGAAAACTGTAGTTTCAGTTTACGCTAAAATAAAAATAAATGGTATATTTAAGAACTCCTTCCACATGAGAATGAAGCACTATAAAAAGAAAAAAAAACACTTTAGTGACAATTGAACTGGCAGGTCTGCTTTGGTTCTTGCTTAATACCATCACAACACCAAAACTTCACCAGAACTTTTACAGTAACAACTGACAGCACTTTATAAGAAGGACACATGTAATGTAAAAGCAAAATCAACCCCACAAAGGTAGAAGAAACATGAATCGCTAAAAGATGGAACGTGATAACAGCACCACCGTGCGTTTGTTTTTTCACTGGATGATCTACTTACGTCGTGTGAAGCTTTCCACCACTGGGTGTCACAAGCTCTCCGTTCTTGGTGTAAACATTACGTGGCAAACAAAGTCCGCTCAGATTTTATGACAGAAATATGATTATGTTTGCCGACATAAGCGCAGACATGAAATAATAGTGGGCTAATAACCCGTCACATATCAAGTTGTAGGGTATCATTACTATTTAACAACAACAGCCGTCGGCTTAATAACCACGTATCACACGATAGTTAATTATTTAACAGGTTAAATAATAATTAGCAGCAGAAACTGTGTTAATAACACCAATACGCGTCATTTTTCCGCACTATAAATGACAGAACTAGGGTAAAATATATTGTTATGATAGGTTTAAACATGACAGACACGTCTCTGACGCACTTATTTGTATGTCGCTGAAGCGTTTACATGTTTTTGTAAGGAAATTAGTCTATGGACTATGCAAATCACGTAAAGGTTTTTTAAAATAACCTTAAACGTCGTGTAAGATTACCTGGGTCTCTATAAAAAAATAAGCTGTAACTATTTTTTTCTTCCAAGCAACTCCATGAAAAATATTAATTTGACCTTTTACTACTAACTATTATCTGATATGTCACTCTTTGCTCCGCTTTCTGCACTGCTGCAGCATGTCGCGCACTCGCATCATCTTATTATTGGACAAGACAACTGTCACTCAACACGCCACGCCCTAGAATTTTCGCGCGCGCTGAGCACATTCAAGATGGGTTGAGGTGCGTATTTGACCTAATTGGCGCTCGGCCAAAACAGAAAAAAGCGAACATGTGGGCCAAAGATTAGGAACGTTTGTATAACATAAAATTCACGCCGAAACGCAACCTTTAAAGCACAGGAAGGTTTTCTATGTTTATTGTTACCGACATTTTTACATCTCTGCGGTCAATAAGCCTTTAATTAAATACCAAAATTAAACTATTCATAGTGTCATTAAATTATGTCAGAAAATAAATGTATTGGGAAAATGGACAGACTTTTAATGTGTTTGGTTCATATTTTAGGGCACTTAGTGATGCTATTTTATTTATAATTATCATTAATTATTATTTGCTTGCTTGAGACTTTTATTTAATTGTTTCCATAATTTTATAATGATAATTTGTATTTATTATTTTAAAAAATCATAATTCATGATTTCTTTATCTGAAAAACAAAGTAATTTTGAAAACAAAAACTTTGGGTTAAATACATATAAACCCAACTGTTGGGTAAAAGTTGGCTATAAATTGAATACAAAAACAAACAAACATGTAACCCCGTGGTTGAGTATGTCTATATTGTACCAAATTTTGTTTTCAAATAACCCAGCATTTTTGTCTTTGCACATTTCTTGTTATCTTTATGGAAATCAGTGATTTGTTCGTTAAATATGGCATTTTGGGAACTACCTGCGATCTGCTTGATTTCTTTAAAATGCACTTAATATTATATTTCATGATGAATAAAAACAATGAGATAAATAAAAGCTCTAGTAGATTCTCGCGTGCCAACTAGCAGCCAAGCTCTTGCTGCGTGTTGCCAGATTGTGTGGGATTCTTCTCGAGCCGCACCGCGCATGCGCTTGGGAAGCCTGGGGTAGGCCCTGCTGTTTTTCTAACTCTAGTTCAATCCTACACTGCCGTCTCAACCAAAACAAGGCGCAAGAAAATCCCCCTCCTGGACGGCAAGTAACCAAGGTAAGGGAACAAGCGGACTTGCAAAACAGTGATATTTTGAGAAAGCGCTGCATGTCTACGGTGTCGCATTTGTGGCGGATTTAATAGAAGCGTTCTTGCGGTGAAAATACGCTGGTGTGTTTTTAATGCTTGCCTGGGAAGAATCCGAAGGCCCGGTGACCCACATTTGTTCTACCCTAGTGAGACAAGGGGAGTGTACGATGTTGCGCTGCCAAATGTTCGCAACCGATTTAAAGCCCGGACAGCTCTCGTGCATCCAATGATTTAGTCCGTACAGCCGCTATACCTTTGTGGCTTTGCATTTTAAACTTTGTTACTATATTTATCCGCTTATACACACGCACAGCCCCTGTTTATACTGATGACGCGGGCTTGTCAGAATGTAAACTCGCGCTTCTCCAGGTCACATTTAACCTGCATTTCAATGAGCGTGTCGATGAAATTAACGCATTGCACGCAAGCCTGTGTGTACTCGTGAAGCCGCTCGTTTACTTTACCACACAACCCGACGCTTTGGCTGGGGTTGCGACTGTGAGGATGGGAATTAAATCCAATTTAACCTGACCATTTTATCGCGGCTCTACCAGAGCAACCTGTAGCGATCTCGGCTGAATATATACATACCCGCCGACTAAACCTCAGCGTGAGTCGCACAGAATTAGTTAGCAGCTTGGAGATTTTGGCATTTATTGCAGCTTCGCACATCATTCGGCTTCGTTTAATTATCATGTGAACGGGGAGTGAGGCGACTAAAGAGAAGATAATGCCGGTAATTAACTGCTTTTCTTTTAAACGGTACGTGCTGCACATATCCGCCTGCATGTTTTTGCTAGAGCTTTATGAGAATTAAGAGGTTAAAACCCGGTGACAGCAAGTGTACGCGGTGTTTCGGTTTCTCGTTGAAGGTGAATTCGGGTTATTTGACGTTAAAGCGGAGCCTCACGGACGATTCGACCGTGTTTCGGTTCATATTTGATGTCTCTAGTACGTCTTTTAGCGAATGACATTGTATCATTCTTGAAATAAAACCCTCTTGTTGGTGTCGTTGTATGTTGACGTCGCGTTGGTTGTCAGTTTACCAGGGTTTGCCTTTATCATTTATTTCCGCGCACAGCTGCCACTAGTTAGCCTAACTGATCAATGGTTTTTATTCAATTAGCCGTTTGTGTAGTGTGTCAATCACGTTGTTTGGGACATCACTAATTTAAGGCTTAGCTTTTGAGGATAATTGGGTTGTGCGTTAGAAATCGATTATGCTGTTGTAATACATAATGTTCCTATAATGATGTAGCCTATACAATGCAATTAGTTAGATTTTCCATCCATCCATCCATCTACCTATTTATCCATCTATCCGTTTAATTAATTGGACCTAATTTATTTACAAAATTGGTTCACCTTAAAAGGTGTATTCCATAATGAATTTCTATACGTGTATGACTTTCTTTATTATGTAAATATTTTTTTGTTTGGTTTATTCATTAATTTTTTTACCATAATAATGAAACCATAATAACGAAATCCTAATAAAATATCTATCTATCTATCTATCTATCTATCTATCTATCTATCTATCTATCTATCTATCTATCTATCTATCTATCTATAAAATTATTGATAAAGTTTAGCGAAGTTTGGATGAGAAACACAGGAGAAACCATTTTTGCAACGTAAACTTTTTTTCAACAAAAAATCTGTTTAAGTATGTTAGTGAAATCTTATATTGTTGCGATCGCAGTCTTCTAAGATAAAAGATGGAAACATTTCAAAAGATGTAATAAAATACACAGTGACTTGCTAGCTATGAGGAAATCATGACACAGCGGGGTTAGTTGTAACAGGGTTTTTAAACTTTTTAAGATCTTTTTATATTAAAATGTTTTTTAATAGAATTTTTTTTTTCTAATAGATTTTTTTATTGCTTAAAATGCAGAATAAAGGCAATGTAAAATAATGGATAAATGGGTAATAATGCAAATAAATCCAAACAGGTTTATCCAATAAATAAATAAGCATACTGTGCTATGTAGAAAAAAATAAGAGTCAATTACTGAAGAAATATAGCTACTATTTAAAGTAAACTGAATTTAATTTAATTGTGTGAAATCTGCCTTTTTGGCATGTTACAACTAACACTCTGACTGTTACAACTTGTGGGGTAAATAGTAACATTTTTACTCCTGGCACTTTTGGCAATACTGCACAGAAACCATAGGTCCGGTGGTGATCATAATTTCACCGTTCATTTGTAGGAGAGGCTAGTGTGTTGAGGCTAAAAAATAGGATTTGTCTAACCCCACTACTTTGTTCATTATTTGAGCAAAACCAAAAGAGTTTTACTTTGTGCCCCTTCTCCCCTATATATATATATATATATATATATATATATATATATATATATATATATATATATATACAATCTGTATATGAAATAAAATGTTCCAAATATGGTCATGTTCATGTATCTTTTCTAAAGGAAATCAGTAGAGTTTATCGAGGCATAATTAAAAGCATAATATCATTTAATATAGTTGATTATTATTGTTGTTGGTGTTGTTGTTTTTTTTGCTGAATTGTTCCATTAACAGATTGTCTGTATAAATGTGTTGTTGGGTTTTGCCTTTACTTTCACAATAGATCTGACATTATGCAGTTAAGGTTTGGTGCATTGCTAAATGAATAAACCCTGACATAAACACAGACACTAATGCAATGTTTAAAGAAACGCATACATGTGTATATTTAATGTAAAAGACATTCTCCACCTGGTAAAGATAAGGCAGCTTTGTTTTTAGGTTAACTCGGAATAAGGTGTACTAGTTTATCACCCAACGTTTCTTATCAAAAAAGCTAGTGTGTACACGTGAGTTATGAATAACACTCTGTAAATAAATACAACAGCCACATGATGTCTATAAAAGGAATCCCAGAAAACAGGTTGTTTTTCACCTTCACAGTGTAGATCAACACCAATCTTTCTGAGGTGGAGAATACTTTTTCCCATAGGATGTTATTCTTTTGGCAAAGCAGTTATTTGCCAGCACATTAACACCCTTGGAAAAAAGGCACCTTATTGATTTAACACACAAAAATACATCAGTTTTTACTATCCCAGTGGTGGCTAATATTGAGGTTTATTTGGTTTATTTTGTTCTGGTAATTATTGTGTTTTGGTGGAACTTGTGGGATATTTTAATAACTTGAAATATCCCAAAATCTTGCCCTGCTTCCTGTAACTTTTTCAGTTACTTTGTGATTTGTTTGTATATCCTCATTGTAGAAGGCGTTTCATTGTTCGAACAAGTTCTGTGAGAGCCTGAGAGAATTGGTCATGAAGTTAGTGTCTATATGAGGGCGTTCAGGCATAAGTCACCTGCAAATTCACCCCAGCAAAGTCATGCCCATCTGACTTAACAGGTTTGGCTGATATTGCTTTTGACAGCATGTGCAAATCTATCACAACCTTGCACCCTACTTTTATCGCATTGGCGAGTGCAGCTTTGGATGAATTGCTAGTTTAGAAGAAAAACAACCAAGCTATAGAATTTGCTCAGTGTGTATATGCATTAATGTGTGACGAATAAGAAATAGATCCAGTGTGAATTTCTGTGTTTAGTAAATAGACTAGTTATGGGTGAAAATGGCTGCACAGAAAGGTTAATGAGTGCATGATTAAAAAAAAAAAAAGCGATTTGAAACTCTACAGCAAGTAGTCATGCAACATTGCACTGGCTGTCATATCAGTATAAAAGCTAATTTTTAATGTTATCCTAAATGACGGAATTAAAAAAAACTATATAAATTTTACTGCGCTTTGGAAAAGTCAAGGTTTTAATACCGCTATAATGTTTTTTTATACCGTTCCCAAGGTATATGTAAGGTTTTAAAAATACATTTTGTATTTGTATATAATCTATGTTTTTGAAAGTAATGAATAGAGCAGAAGTCAATCATTTATTTTAACTATTTAGCCTGACATGTTTTCTGTTCCAAAATATTGTTTCTTAAAATAAAATTAATTGTGTTAAAAGGGGAAAAAAGTGACCACACTGAAAAAAATTATTCAGAGATGAATCCTTGGATTTACTCAATTTTTTTACGTTAAGGGGTTGTAAACACTTTATTTGTGAACATTATTAAACTTAATTTGTTTGTTTAAATTCAACACAAATAAATTGTTTGCAACAGTTCTGCATGCAACACTTTTTTTTCAGTGCATGACAATTTGGATTGGAGTCACCAAATGGATGCTTAAGAAGAGTGTTTGCAAGAGACACAATTTTGTCAGTGTGGGAGTTTTCACTGTCATAAACAGAGCACCTCAGTAAAGCAATTTGTAAATAATTTTAGGAAAAGAAAGCTCTAGAATGTTTCCTTTGCCTTAATTTCTGCCGTTCTGATTTTAAAAATAAATTCAGTTGTTCACTTTATTTGTTTGCAATTAAGTTTTGTTACAGACTCAAAAAATCAATAACAAGATTTGAATCAGCCACTATTTTTATCAGTTATCACCTTCCAAAGATGATGAGGTGCATGGTTGGCTCATCCCTAATTCCCATCCTCTTTAAAGGGCCATGAAACCCCCTCGTTTCAGCAGGGTGTTTTCACACCTCTACTTTGGAAAAAGTCAGAAAAGTGGGCGTGTCCAGCTCTGTTTAGGGGGGAGTGTCGGAGGAACTAAAGTGGGATGGTGTGGGAGTGTCTATTTGTGCACGCGCGAGTTTCAGAGTCAAAATACACACCCACACAGACAGGAGAAAGTGATGGTGTTTAACCTACATGGACATCTATAGTCGAATTATTTGCCAAATTATTAAATGTTGGACTTTAACTGCAGTTTGGCTCTTTCATTCAGGGAATTCATTCATGCCTCTCGAGACAAACGAGATATTTGATTCCAGGAACTGCTGCAAGCGTGTATTTTTCATGCAATGTTTGATACCGCACGGCGAATGACAGAAAAAAAAACTCTGCATTTCCCGGAAACTTAGATGCACACG